AGTGTGATGACAAGTTTGAGAGGCTTGTTTGGGGTTCCTTCGGGTTCCTCATTCGTCATGTCACGTCTAGGCCCTAGGCTTGGGTCGTGACAGTAGAGTAGTACCTGAATTGTTGAGTAACTGAGGATACTTGTCGCGCGTGTCCTTCTTGGTCTCCCAAGTGGCTTCCTCAATCGAACGATGCTTCCATTGAACTTTCATGGACTTAATATCCTTGGTCCTCAGCTTCCGGACATCATGATCAAGAATTGCAATTGGTTCTTCCTCGTACTAAAGGTCTTTGTCTAACACAACTGAGTCTCATTTTAAGATGTAATCACTACAACAAATGTGATATTTAGCTACGAAATTATTAGTTACGATACAAAATTCGTCACTAATAATTCATCTTTTGTGACAAAAAATACATTTCGTATTTAAATGTATGCGCAACATACTTTTAGTGACGAAACGTACAATTTCGTAGCAAAAGCTTTGTCCAGTAAAGTTTCCCACCAAAAAATAATTTGGCGCCATTTATTAAGTACAATTAGTGACAAATTTTAATTCATCAATGACACATTATTTTGTCGCTAATAATGCATCCATTTTGTGACAAAATGTTATTTGTCATAAAATTAGTTACAATTTTGGACACGAAAAAATTTCATCACAAAATATAAGTTGGTGCAATAGCGACAAAATAGAGTTCGTAGTTGAATGTTGTAAGCTTTTAGCACACAAATTATATATTTAATAGTGACCTTAGTTTTCGTCTCTAATAATATAAGCAATTAGTGACGATTATTTTATTGTCTCTAATTAACCTGCGACTTAGTGACAACATAATTTTGTCACAAAATATAAGTTGTTGCAATAGCGACAAAACAGAGTTCGTAGTTGAATGTTGTAAGCTTTTAGCCACAAAATCATATATTTAATAGTGACCTTGGTTTTCGTCTCTAATAATATAAGCAATTAGTGATGATTATTTTATTGTCTCTAATTAACCTGTGACTTAGTGACAACATAATTTTGTCACAAAATATACAATGTTTAAATAGTGACAATTTCAATTTTCTAGTTGAATAATTTAACCATTTATCACAATATTTTAAAATTTAAATATAAAATAACATTTGGCTACGCTCGAGTGCAGATCTATAGGGTAGTGAGAGAGTTCACCAGCAGGGGTGGACCCACATGGGTTCGAGGGGGTTCACCTGAACCCCCTCGGGAAAAAAATTACACGGTATGTATAAGGTAAATTTTCTATATTTATGTAGATATATATATTTTGAACCCCTTCAATGACAAAGAGAAACTGATAGCCTAGTGGTAGGTCTCCTTGAAATTAAGCTACACGTCAAGGGTTCGATTCCCTCTGTTAGCGTTTTACTTTTAGTTTCTAATTTTTTTTTAAGTTTCAGTTCCGTTTTTCACGTTACGTTTTATTTAGTTTTTCATTTTATAAAACATTCTAAAATTTTGGTTTTAAACCCAAAATAAATTCAAGGGTCCGCCACTAAAACTATATACTACTACTTCCTTGAAATTTTGTTTTGTTGGCTTAATTACATGTTAATACTTTTATTTTTCGAACCTCCTGGGTCCGCCACTATTCTCCAGGACCAGTTGATATAAAATTACACAATATATTGATAATATTCATTTAAATTTAGAAGTTGACTTAGTGATTTAAAGGGTTCGAAATTCCCTTTAAGTTCCAAGTTGAAACATCAACCCATGAATAAAAGTAATACTAGTAAGATAGTGTATATTCACGACACACATAAACTGACATTGTTTGTGTTCATTGCAGACATGTATAACAATTTTTTGACAAAAATAAAATCAATGTCAGCCACTTGACACAAGAGATGCATGTTATTAAAGACATCTCAAAATGAATATTTAAAATAGATTAACAGGTCTAATAAATAAGGAACAAAAATAATTTCAGGGTAAATAATAGTAAAAAAATATAATATGAATGAAAAGCCTCTACTACTTAAGCAAATATGTTTTCCAGGTCTTCTATAACCTCTAACATAGAAGAAATCGTCAATTATTGTAGTGACTACACCATTCTCGAGACATGACAAGTAGAAATCAGATTTGTACTAGAACGAACAACACTAAAATTTTAGTAAACCTTTACCAAAACCGCAGCAGAGCACCAACAATGCATCAAAATAGCTCCAAAAGTTCATCAAAATAACATTAGAATTGCACCTAAATAGTACTGACAATGAACCAAAATAGCTGGACGAAATTCACACTAATACAACACTATGGTTGCACCAACATAGCAGCAAAAAAGATCCAAAATTACACCAGAAAAGTATCAAAACAACATTTGAATTACACCAAAACAGCAGCATCACAATAGCCTCTAAATCAGCATTAAACTTGCATCAACACCACCACCAGAAAGCACTAGAACTGCACCAAAAACAGCAACAGAAAATCACCGTAACAACAGCAAAACAGCTCCAAAACTGCACGAGAAAAGCTCCAAAAACAGACTCCAAAATTGCACCAAAAAAGCAGCACCATATTCGCACTAAAACAACAAAAAAATTGCACCAAACCTTTTGGACTTGCTCGTTAACTTCTACTGCTTCCAGAACGCTGCTTACCCACCTGCATCATGTGACCTCATAGCATCAAGTAGATCAAATTTAAGCGTAACTGACAAATACATAACGGAAAGTGGAAACCAATATATAGTCCCTGCCTCCTAGATATCTCACTACATCCCTAAAAGAGTCAGCAGGAGAGGTAATACTCCCATGGGTCAATGAGCATATCAGCATATGGTCTTTGCCCCAATTGAGAACCGGGTTCTATCACAAGATCACAAGTACTCATATTAGCAGTTAGGAAAAAGCCAAGAATCTGACACTTAAAATCTGGTGCTTGACAAGAAAGATTATCCACCACATTCTGCATGATCATTCACCAAGCCACTCAACCCTAGCTCCTAAATGCTTAAGCTTTCTCAATGGAATAACTTACAGTACTAACATTTGACTTAAATTTAGTCTGATTTTTATTTGATATAGTTGTAGAAGGATGAAACACAAATATTCAAATTAAACTTGTACTTGCCAAGTCACAACATCACCCAATTTACTCAACATATAAACTTCTAGTCAGATGGGAGTTTCGATTGCCAAGACAAGGGGCATAAGAAAAAGAGGATAGATAGCAGTAGCGCCTTGCCCTTTATCAGACAAGAATGTGATAAAGAGATACATGGAAAAAGAATTGAGAATGTATTGCTTGATCATTCTACTAAGCAATTGAGTGTTTATACAGACATCTAGTCAAAATTAGGAAAGACATAACTACAAATAAATAATATCTATGTAATTGATTCTATCTAATATACACAATATTCTCAAAGAGAGTCAAGCAAGGAGAATAATAGTCTCTTATAAAGTTACTTAATACAATGTTATCCTTCACTAAAAGCTACTTACTAAAATATTACCTTAAAAAATAGTAGCAGTAGTAGTAGTAATTACCAACAACATACCGAGTGTAATCCCACAAGTGGGGTCTGGGAGGGTGGTGTGCACGCAGCCTTACCACTACCTTGTGAAGGTAGAGAGACTATTCCCAATAGACCCTTTACTCAAATAAAGCATATCAAAACCAATGAGGAAAGGAAATGCCATAGTGAAGTAACCATATCGGTAGCAACAACAAACAGTACAATAACCGAAGCAAAAAAACAAACATGTAATGATAAAATCGAAGCATCAGAAGTAGTAGTTACCAATTCAATAAAGTACTATGGAAAATTATGAGCCACTATTAAGACACAAGAAAAATGTGGTAAATAGGTAAGAATAGAAAAGGATGGGTGTCTTAGAACTTCTGTAGAGTTTTGAAGGTGAGCTTTTGAAAGAAGTGAGTCTTATTTAACATTGAGCTCCATAATATTGAAAAGGTTGAACAAATAATATTGTGAATGGTTACATGTAAAGGGCAGTTTTTTGTGACGGAATAATGTTTGTTCAACGACGAAATACATTTAAATTTAGAGACAAATGACGTCGTCACTAATTATATAATACAATAAGTGACGCATCAGTTTCGTCGGCATTAATGACCTTTTTAGTGACGAAAAGCTACCATTGTCTACAAAAAAATATAATTTCTATGATGAACAAGTTTGTCATAGATACTATACATTTGGGGACGAAAAATATTTTCGTAGTAAATAGAACTATAATTAGTGACGAAACACTAAGTTGTGCCTGTATACATTTGGTGACACACGATTTAGGGACGAATGCTTGACGATTTTTTTTTCATCACGAAAGTTTTTTGGTGACGAAATATGTGCTTTAGGTGACAAAATTATTCGTAACTGAAAATCAAATTTGTTGTAGTGAATCTCTGTCACCATGATATCTCTTCAACATGGACACATGAAATACCGGATGAACTCCCGATAAGTTAGGAGGTAAATCTAACCTATACCCACTGCCACTGGCCCTATACGGTCAAGAACTTCAAATGGTCCAATATATTAAGATCTAAGCTTGCCTTTCTTGCCGAATATCATCACCCTTTTCATTGGGTGACATCTTAACAAGAACTTTCTCACCAATTTGAAATGCCACGTCTCTTACCTTATTATCTGCATACTTTTTCTTTCGACTTTGGGCTACTAAGAGCTTAGCTTGGATGCTTCTTACCTTATCCTGAGCATCTCTCACCAAGTCAACCCCTAAAGGTTTTACATCTTTAGCTTCAAACCATCCTATGGGTGATACATCCTCTCACATACATAGCCTCAAATGGTGTCATATCAATGCTGGAGTGGTAATTATTATTATAAGAGAATTCACACAAAGGTAGGAACTTATCCCAATATCCTCCAAAGTCGATCACACATGCTCTCAACATGTCCTCTTACACTTGAATAATCCTCTCTGACTGCCCGTCCGTTTGCAGATGGAAGGTTGTGCTAAAAGTGAGTTGAGTACCCAACTCCTAATGCAATTTTCCCCAAAACTTGGATGTGAACTGCGTACCACGGTCTGAGATGATAGAGAAAAGCACGCCGTGCAACCCTACTATCTCTTACATATACCTTGGCCAATTGTTATGCATTATAGTCTACTCTGACTGGAATAAAATGAGCTGATTTCGTCAATTTGTCAACCACTACACAAATAAAATCATACTTTTCCAAAGTATTGGGGAGACCCACTACGAAATCCATAACTATCCTTTCTCATTTCCATTCCAGAATTGGCATTCTCTGAAGCAAACATGCAGGCCTTTGATGCTCATATTTTACTTGTTGGCAATTTTGACACTTAGCCACAAATTTCGCTATGTCTTTCTTCATGTCAGGCCACAAATAAAGTCGTTTAAAGTTTCGGTACATCTCGGTCACACCCGGATGAATGGAATACCGTGAACCATGGGATTCTGTCAATAAATTCTGAATCAAGACGCCCACTCTAGGAACACAAATCCTTCCTTTAAAATTGAGCACACCCCCCGCATCAAGAACCATATCTTGTACCTTACCAATCACCGTCTTCTTTCTAAGCTCATTCAAATTCTCATCCTCAAACTGTTTGGCCTTGATCTCCTCAATGAAGGTGACCATAATCTCAGTGCTAGCTAACACCCCCCCTTTTACTGAGATGTCCAACTGCATGAACTTAGACTCCAAATGTTGAATTTCTTTTGCCAAAGGTCGCTTGGTCACCCCCAAGCAAGCTAGACTACCCATACTCACCATATTTCGGCTTAATGCGTCCGCCACCACGTTAGCCTTACCCGGATGGTATTGGATGGTCGCATCATAATCCTTAAGTAATTCCATCCACCTTCGTTGTCTGAGATTTAGATCCTTTTGAGTGAATACGTGTTGTAGGTTACGATGGTCAGTAAATACCTCATACTTGACACCATAAAGATAATGTCACCAGTTCTTATGAGCAAACATTACCGTTGTCAACTCTAAATCATGTGTTGGGTAATTTCGTTCATGTACCTTCAACTGTCGCAATGCATAAGTTATGACGTTCTTATCCTGCATGAACACCGCACCCAAACCTTAATGTGAAACATCACAATAGACAATAAAATCTTTACCTTCCACCGGTAAAGTAAGAATATGTGTTGTGGTCAAGAGAGTCTTGAGTCTTTGAAAGCTCTCACATTTTTCAGTTCATTCAAAAGGTACCTCATTTTTGGTCAACCTTGTCAAATGTGTGGTAATGGAAGTGATGTTTTTCACAAACCGTCGATAGTAACTAACGAGCCCCACAAAACTCATAATTTCGATTATCGAGCTAGGCCGAACCCAAATCCTGACTGCTTCAATCTTTTGGGGATCTACCATTACCCCTTCTCTTGAAACTACATGCCCCAAAAAGGCAACCAAAGTCAACCAAAATTCACACTTAGAAAATTTCGCATACAACTTTTGTTTCCCAAGAACACTAGAACAATACAAAGATGGTTGGCATGTTCTTCCTCACTTTTCGAATAAACCAATATGTCATCAATAAAAACAATAACGAACGAATCAAGAAATGGTTTGAACACACCATTCATCAAACTCATGAAAGTTGTAGGTGCATTTGTCAACCCAAATGACATAACTAGAAATTCATAGTGCCCATATCGGGTTCTAAATGTCGTTTTTGGTATATCCTCAGGCCTAATCTTTAACTGATGATAGCCAGACCTTAGATCAATTTTAGAGAAAACGGATGCACCCTGCAATTGGTCAAAAAGATCATCAATCCGAGGCAGTGGATACTTGTTCCGAATGGTGATCCTATTCAATTAACGATAGTCTATACACATCCTCATACTACCATTCTTTTTCTTAACAAATAAAACAGAGGCACCCCATGGAGAAGCACTATGATGAATGAATCCTTTATCAAGAAACTCTTGGATTTGAGCTTTAAGCTCTCTTAATTCTATCGGAGCCATGCGATACGAAGGGATGGAAATGGGGAGACTGCCAGGTTCCAAATCAATGCAAAAATCTATTTCTCTATACGGAGGCATACCAGGCAAATCAGTAGGAAACACTTCTCTAAATTCTGACACTACAGGAATAGACTCAATAGAGGGAGGCTCGACCTCAACATCTCAAATATAAGCCAAATAAGCCAAACAACTCTGCCCCTCCAGTTTCCTAGCCCTTATGGAAGATATGATCTTAGCTGACTTAGACTTGTACACCCCTTACCACTCTAACTTTTCCCTATCGGGGATCTCTAGAGTCACAGACTTAGTATTACAATTAAGCACAACATAATAGGGGTCAACCAAGTCATGCCTTAGATTGTATCGAAGTCAGCCATATTCAAAATAACCAAATCAACCCAAGTCTGAAAACTGATAAATAAGATAGGACAAGCACGATAAACATGGGTGACTATGACAGACTCTCCAACTAGGGTAGAAACATGGATGGTGGCATCAAGTACATCACGAATCATATCAAATCCCAAGGCAAACAGAACAGACACATAAGAATAGGTAGAACCCGGATCAAACAATACATTAGTCATCCGATCACAGACAAGAATAGTACATATGATCACTGTGTCAAAGACTCTTCCTTGCTCTTGCCCGGAAAGGCATAACACTGGGCCCTGTCATCTTGATGCCGAGTTCCCTACCTGGTTGCACCGTACCTCTGCCTGCATTACCATTTCCCCGACCTTCACGACCTCACTGATTTCCTCCTTGCCCACCTTGCAGAAATCCTCTACCATTATTACCATTTCCCGCGGGTACCATTTCTCTAGTATGTTGTTACGCGATGTCCAACATGCGCGGATGGGGACAAT